GACTTAAACTGACGCGATAGCGATGCACAATGAACAAGAGGGGCTGTGGGGGAATGGTGTATTGCGGTACAGTGCAGTCCATTACAGCAACGATTAGTCAAGAACAAGCCGTGTGTATACCAACCAGGAACTGTGTTGAACTGTACAAGGGCTAGGGATTGCAAAGGTGAAGGGGTTGGAAAGGAGACATGTGGATGCAGTATAGTGAATGAAGAGGAGAGAGGAAGGGAGGGAGGAAAGAGATGAGTGGTTAGTGGGATAGTGAGCGAGATGGAAATCACCAGTAATACTATTCATAACAATCACTTGTCATCTCTCCCTCCAAAATCCCCCCAAGAACCCGTCAGCCTTTTGAAGGGAAGCTGACACAACACACCAACTAATCATATGCAGCAACAATAGTCCCTGCAGTACAGCATCCAAACATCCAAAAACCCCCCTCCAAAAAACGCCATGGGGAACAATTCGTCAAAACCATCCATAGAACGCGTTCCCATATGCACCGCTCCACCTCCCTAGTCCGTAGACCTTCTAGATGTTCCGAAAACAGAACGCTAAGCCAGAATCGCAAAAGGCGTATATACAGGCCATCCTTTGCGTTTACTGGATGACAAGAAACAAAAAAGGACGCGTCAAAGAAGAAACAGAGTTCATCGCTAGTAAGAATCATGCGATGCCATGCCATGCAAGCGTCATTGTCCCTCGAGACAGGAAACTGCAACGGCGGCCCCGTAAATGGCGGATTCGTGGGCGATTTCTAGCGAGATTGCTTTTGCCCCGGCGCCAGAGGCTGTGGTGAGTTCATCGAGATGAGACTGGCACAGTTCGCGGAAAAGGGGGTATTTTTCAATCACGGAGCCGTTGCAACCGATGCTCAGTCGGCCGGCCGTGGCAGCCGTCAGCGCTTCGGATTGTGTGCGCAGCGTCCACAGGGCGTGGATGCCTGTTGCCAGGAATGCGGCTGCGCGGTGCGAGACGAGCTGGGAGATTTGGCGGACAAAGTGGATGTCGTTGAAGCTTGCGGGTTTGCTCAGTGGGTGCTTGGACTGGAAGAGGGCGGTGGCGTGGGTGAGGTGCTTGGAGTTGTCCATCTCCATGGCGGCAATGGTGCCAGTGTCGAGGCTGTATGGTTCCGCGAGTTGGTCTGGCATTTCGCCACTGAAGAGGCCGGCACTCCGTACGGCTTCGACTATGATGAGTCGCACAATCTCTCCCAGGTAGCGACCGCTGATCATGTGCTCGAATGGCTGGAAGTCTGGTCGCATGTGCGCATCATTCAACTGGTCATCCCAACGCGTGGTGGGGAACACGTTCTTTCCAAACATGCTACATTCTGTGTTGACGAGCACATGTGTGGCCTTGTCAAGCCAATGTTGTGGGTAGCCCTTGAATTTGGTGTGTGCAAGCGCCGAGACCGGCAAGTGGACCGAAATGTTGAAGCCGGTCCCGAGTATGACTGCGAACCGCGTCGAGGGATCTTCGTAGGCACGCGATAGTAATGTTGCCGACGAGTCGTTGACGATCGAGTCGAGGTGCACGGGCAGGTTCTGGGGTTCGTTAGCGGCCGACTAGCGCACGGCAACTAGAGAGCAGAGTTTACCCTTTTTCTGCAAGGCGCCATAATCAGCTCGCTGAGATCTTGCCCGAGCAGTCCCTCGGTGGCCCGAAAACCTTTGCCCATGTCCAGTAAGTTGGCAGCACGGATTGATGTTTGCCTGAGTTTGTGAGCGTTCCAATGCCAGGTAGGGCCACTCCAAGGAAGAGACCTACTCTACAGGGAACGACCATGCGAGGCCCATGGGAATGGACTTTGTGCCAGCATGGCATTGGAGTCGACCGTCAGCCAGTGCTTGTTGAATCTTCTCGGCCATCCAGTCAAAGAATTGGCGACCACTTCGCTGTCGGACCTTTTCGTTAATCTCATAGCTCTTCATAGCCATGATACGCATGTTTTTGGTGTTTGGCTGTCTTCCATTGAGCTCGACGAGAGCAATGCGAAAGGTCGATCCACCGACATCGAGTGCGAGATAGGTTCCCCTTTCGAGGCCGGTTGGCAGTGTGTCGTTGTACGAAGGCAGCATGCAGATCTCGCTAGCCTGCAGTTTGGGGGCGAATTGCTCGACCAACTTGGCTGACATGCGAGACAACTCTGCTGGCTCCAGGGGTGCCTCGAGCAGACGCTGTACTTCACGGAGCAGGTCGTCCATGGTGCGATCGTAGGTTCGCAAGGCATCTCGTACGCGTTTTCGAGACGACAAGGAAGGAAGCACAGCATGAATAAGCGAAGGTAGCATGGCGATTCTCTCGAGAGCCGCAAGAAGGCCCTGCCAGAAATCAAACATGGGCTTTTGATACCAGCAGCGATCGGCTTCGTTGCTGTTGTCCTGTTGCAGGTCACAAGTTCCGTCTGGCTCAGGATTGCGGGAGAGGCGGCGTTTCTTGAAGCGTTTTAGTAGCAGAGAGGGCATGGAGGGGTGGAGGAGGGGTGATGGAGGGGTGACGACGGGTCCAGGAGGTCTTTTGGGTGAAGCTTTGTTCGCAGGCCTTCTATCAGACTGTGATGTTGCGGCCGAGACGACAGACGGCAAAGCACAAAAATGTTCAATGGAGCGGCAGCATGAATGGACCGATGTCGCAAACAGCTCTTAAGCATGGTTGTACGGCTTGTCAGAGCATCAAGAGAGGTTGTATCCACTAGAGGACGGTAGTCGGGAAATGGGACCGGCGCCTGGCGTTGCGAGGCTCGCTGGCTGCTGGGGGCACTGCAGACGGACCAGGCACGTCAGTCAGGTAAGGGTGCTCCGGGGCTGTCAAGGGGAAGGGGGGTTCAAGGGGGGGGGCAGTAGGCGCAGCGGATGTAGCAGCAACACGCAGCGTGGCGGACAAGTGAAAGCGCCGGATGTGCAAGAGAGTGACAGAGCATTACAGCAGGGCGCTGTCATGACGAGGAGCGTTTGGTGGGGTTTCTTGTCTTTGCATGTTTTCTCTTCGATGGCCATGCTACCGTTACGTCGGCGAGTGCCGCTAGGCTCGGGTGGGGCTGTGAATCGAGGCGTAGGCGAGCACCAAGGCCGTTGAGCGGCCAGCGCAGCCGCACCGCGATTCACCCCCAGAAAGAGAGAGAGAGAGAGAGAGAGAGAGAGAGAGAGAGTGTGTGTGTGTGTGTGATGGTGATAGAGTAGAGTGCCAGAGTAGAGAGTGCTGTCATGGCCATTATTGCATTTTGTGATAGCAGGGGGGCGCCCCCCCCCCCCCTGTGTTGAGAAGCTCCCGAGGTCGTCGAGAAGCTACTGATGGCATCCTGGGCCCACAGACTTGTTAGGTAGTAATTGTTACTACGACTATACCATGGCATGCCTACTGCCTACCCTAGCCTATCCCAAGTAGCATGTAGTATGTACCATCATGATCTTGTAGTGGATACTAGACACAGTCCAGCCCTGTCCAGGCCTGCTTGCTTGCTGGCGCATCGTTGAGGTTGCTCCCGGCCGCTCTAGCCTCTTTCGGCACGACATGGGTGCGCCGAGCGGGAAGCACGTGCACTGCCAATTCCAAGTTTGGGAGCAAGCTTTGGATCACTTGCCATGTCCTCCTCGTCCATCTACAGTCCAACAACCATGCAATGCATCCATTCTTTCCACTGTCAAGTACTGTCTTGGCCTGCGTGTGTGAGAGCGGGAAGAGGGAAGAGGAAGAGGGAAGAGGGTAAAGGAGTGCGTTGTGCGTGAGTGTGGTGTAGGTGAGCACCCAACGCCTTGCATGCACACACAACTCGACAACCATCTCTCGGACATGGCTGGCCACACCTACCGTACCCCGCGCGTGTACTCCGTGTCCACCACCCGTGCAACCACACCCATCTCTTGGTGTTTTCAGATCGAGGCCTGCAAGGGCCTGAGCCAACGAGCCCCAAGCGCAACAGAAGGCTGCTGGAACGTCGGATAGAAGAAGCAATGAGGGAACGAGCATGGCTGTACCAGTAAATCCTTTTCCCTTTCTCCCCCCCCGAACCCTTGTTAGTCACCCTGCATTCACACCACACCACCACACGTGCACACATACATACACGCGCATGCTTGTTCCCACTGCCACTTCTTCTCGTCTGACAGCCGCATGGTCGAAATACAAGGCGGCCCAACCTTCCATCTAGACGTGCGGCTACCCAGCTAGGAATGCAGTCCTAGCATGGCTACCGTGCAAACCAGCAGCTGCGCCCTTCTCCTACTGTGCCATTTTGACCCCACCGAACCACTTTGATTTGCCTGCGCACACAACCCTTGCTCTCGATGGATGGCATGGGAAAGGCTGTCAGCCAGTCGAATGGCTACACTGCACATGGCAATCTGGATGCGCTGAAACTGCCGGCGGCCACACACCGTTACAGTCGCACAGTCGCACGTTGAGGGAGGGGAGGGGGGGATATTGCCATGCCATGCCATCATCAACTATCATCGCCCGTATCCACTCATGTCCCTGTTTCATCTCAGTGTGCATCGATCTTGTGTATATTCCTTGCCTCTACAGCATTAGGGATGGATTACAAATACTATGGGGCCAAATGCGAAGCCAAGGCGGCTGCTGGCTATGCAAAAGAGACCTGCCAAACAAGACAGGTTCGTGTAGAGACATCCAAACTCGCCATCCCAAGCCTCCCAAGCTGGAAAGCGCCAGGTCCTTGCCCAAACGTGATGACTCTGCCAACACAATATACAGGAACAACAGGAACAACGAAAAGCAAGTCCGAGGTATCATCAATCCCTTATACAGCAATAGCCCCTCGTGATAGTACCCAGATCTCCGTGGTCATAAATCGTCATCTAGCCCAGTACGTTCATACCTTCTCGGCCTCGTTATTCACAACTTGTACATTGGCCTTGGGTGCGACCTCGGCAACACTCTCGTCTGTAAATGCAACATCCTTCTCCAGCGCCACTGTGTCCTCGACTTTCCAGAGAATGACGGGCAGCGCGACGAGCAGGCTGCCGCCAAGCAAGCCCCAATTGGACGCAAACATGTTCATGTACGGAATGCCCGTGTCGTCCAGCCGCCAGGTAATAGCGCCACCGGCCGACTGGATGCCCTTGTAGAAACCAGCAAAATTCGCAAGCTTGCGGCTGTTGTTGGTCAACGCGCCCATGAACCAGTAGACACACGTCTGCCAGGCGGCGTCGGAGAAGCCGTAAAAGGCGTAGAGGACAAAAGGGCCGGCGTAGCCCGCATCCGTCCAGTCCTTTTTCTTGTTCGACTTGTCCTCTGCCCAGGCACGGTCATACGTCTTTTGGAATTCGTAGCCGCAACCCCAGACAATCATAATGGTCGCAAACAACGCAGCCCATGCTGCCTTGGCACGCGTCGTTCGACGAACACCCTTCATGTCCAGGGCAAAGCCAAAGACGTAGGCACCGATAATCTGCATAATGTAGTACACTACCCCGTTCAACGCCCGGGTGCGGACATTGAAGTAGGCCGCGTTGACCTCGGTGAAATGGTAGGCGTAGAACCAGTTCGAGGCAAGGAACATGGGAAAAAGAAGGATGATGTAAGGGTCGGTGAAGAAGGTCTGCCAAAGGCCGACAAACTCCGATTTCCACGAGGGGTGTTTCATGACGATGACCTTGGATCCGTCGGCGCGCACAACATCCTTTGCGTCCACTAGGGTCCAGGCCAGGGCGGCACCAATAAGCGTGAGGATGAGGAAGCCAATGTAGGTACCGTCATTGACAGAACCGTCTTGCTCCACGTGCATGTTCTGGCCCAGGGGAATCTAGAGGCAAAGAAAGAAAAAAGATCATTAGCCAACGTGCTTTATGAAACGACGCGAATGCAAGTGTCTTACCAAAGTTCCAATGACGGCGCCCAAGTTGAAGATCATCCAAAACCAGGAAATGTAGCGGCCTTTGGACTCTTCAGGCGGGTAAGACATCATGATGGCGCCCTGAGCGCACCACAGCAGACCAGCGCATACACCAAGCCAGGCACCGGCGAAAGTGGTGAAGCCCAGATTACGGGTGTGGTTGTAGCTGAGGTAGGAAGCGACATAGACCGAGTAGCCAATTCCGCCAAAGGACAAGGAGGTGCGAATACCGAGTTTGTTGGTGAATGTGCCGGCAAAGAAGCCCACGACGGCAAAAGTCGAGTACAGCGCGGTGTTGGCCCTGTTGTTGGCTGTGGGATCGAGCTGGCCGCCTCCGCCCATGCCGTTGAGGGCATTGAACATGCCCGGGCACATGAAGCACACAAACGAGACAATGACCAGCTGCACCGGCGGCGAGGCGAACCAGGGGATCTTGTAGCCGAGCAAAGTGATGCGCCGGTACTTCCATGTATTGGGAAGCTCCAGCGTGTTGCTGTCGGTCAACGAGTGCTCTGGCGAGTCGACATTGTGCGGCAGCGTATCCTTTTCCGTGGTTGACATGGCTTTTGCGCAAAAGGCTGGTTCCGACGGTGGATGGCAGCAGATACGGAGATGGACGCAACCTGGAACTTGGGTACCGTAGACCAGGGGGGGGGGGATGGGAGTGAATTTTGCCGATTCGGAGGGAAAGAAGTTTGTAGGGCAGCAGAAGATCCCAACTAATAAAAGAAAGAAAGAGAGATGCGAGTGCTCACGCTCAGACCACAGGTGACTGGCGTTTTCGCTATCGTATTGTCCAAGTAGATGGGTACTATGTATGCGCCGTATTCTAGGATGCTATACTATAATAAGTGCTTTTTTGGGGGGCGGCCGTGGCAGCTGTGGGTGAAAGCGAGGGGCCGCTACGTTTTAAGCATCTGCCAGCCCGGCCCAATGCCCGCCTAGGGTCTTCCTCATCGTCCACATGCATTCACATCCCACCCGATCAGGCTTACCCGATCAGGCCCAAACCCGCCAGCCTTAAAAGAGAGAGAGAGGAAAGAGAGAGAGAGAGAGAGAGAGCGTGAGAGAACACGCGACAAGTATTGGCCTTGCCGGGCAATTTGGCAGACATCATAAGGATTCACGCCCCAGAGTCGCAACCATTGGGTCCTGGCTGGCACCCCTCGGACGCCTCCAACATGCAAGTCCCCGTATCAACGACCCCCCTGGTCTGGACTCTGTAGCACTGCACATGTGCGCGGGCCGGGGGCGCACGCTGATGCGGTCGTGCCGACCAAGGGTTGACAGTCTGCACTTCCTTTCTCGGGAAAAGGGTTTGATAGGGAGAGTGGTACTCTACTCTAGTAGTCACTGGATGTAGGTAGATAGATGCTGGATGTGTATGATAGCGATAGAAGCGGGGAGCGGGTGGAGACCATCTGAGTTGTAGTAGGATTAGCTTATCGTTTAGTACCGGTAGGCCCTCTCCATTCACGTCCGCTGTTTGAATGGCTGCACCAGGCCAGGGACCTTTCACCCCCCCCCCCCCC